GATGGTTATTGTCTGTTCTTGTAACACAAAGTGCCACAAAACATTAGGACGCTGCACCATTACAAAGAGCTAATTAAAAACAATGTTATTGGTTTATTAAACCATTCTGAATTTCATACTCTGACTCTGGTTATGACTGTCAGATAAGGGGAGTCAAGTCACAGCAAGGGACATTCATGACCCACAAACCTTTGAACCTTACCAGTTAAAAGAAAGAGCTAGTTTCGTGTGCGTGTGCTCCATAAACCTCCTCTCCTCCTTACCAGTGAGGCCTACTTTCTTTCGGCATGAAAAGCAGCGGTTCTTCTTCTTGTTTTTATCCGGGGTTTGGTCACCATCAGATGAAGCCTGTGCTGCTTCCCCCACTGGCTCTGGTGGAAAAATAGAAAACAATGGTCACAAACAATTATAACATATATTTTTAATACTGGTAAAAAACTGAGGCTGAACAGAAACCCAAAGAAAACTTAGAAATGTTTAAAAAATGTTTGAATTGTGGGGTTCTCTGGAACCCATAGGGAAAGGACAGATATGATAAGTCATTCATGAAAAATACTTTACAGGTTCCAAGGTGGAGAACGTTTTTTGCACACTGCCTCTTGATTGAGGCGGAGTTATCCTTGAATACCCTTTTCTGTTTGAATGGAGTCAAAGTGAAGCTTCATGTTTGTCTTACCACCAGCAGACCACTGACAAATGGGGGGTAGAGGGTAGCAAGTTAATTACTTTGTTTGCCTGTGTATTCATATGTCTAAATAAGGAGTATTCTCCAAGTGCAACTCATTTCATGCCACATGTGAATTGATTGGGAAAAGAGAAATGATGTTTACCTGTGCTGTTGGAAGTGCCCTCCTCTTCTCCCTCCTCGGCATCTGCTCGATCAGAGTCTACAGCTCCTGAATCCTGGGAGATGCTCATTGCGGTCATCTGCTGTGTTACTGGGCTGGGAGAACTAGGGCTGAAATCACAAAAAAATAAAAAATAAAATAAAACTTAAGACCACAAAGGAATTCTTTTCTAATTCATAAATTATATGCAGAATTGACACAGCTCTAATTTGTTTGGCAGTAAATGTATGGCTGAGAGATTCATGTCTATTTGCATGAAAATATCTGTGATAGCCCTCTTAAAATTCAGACAACCTAAGCTGCTTTAAGGCATGCACTGAACTCCGCAGTTCCTCCGAATTTTCTACAGAGGAGGTGCACGTGCGAATGCAAATGTCCGAGTGCCTGTCTTCCTAGGATAATGTACGACAGACTCAAAAACATGAAAAAAAAAAAGAAAACAAATATCTCCCTGTGAAAAAGCAGTGACACAAGTAGAAGACACAGATAAATGGTGACAAGAGAGTTTGTGGTGATAAGCACAGACACCAGTGTCTGCGTGATCTCCACAGAATAGTTAATAAGTCACTTCCTGCCACTGTCAGCTGCACCCGACTGCTCTACCTCTCGCCTGAATAATGCGGAGGATTTGATATTGTTGTGAACGCATCTGTGCAGAGAACCTCCCGCTTTGTTGTGCATGTGTGAAAGGCATACTCTAGGTAAACTCTGTAGCTAATCTCTTGGATCTTCAGCACCTTTGTGAAAAACTACTCTGAAAAATGCCTTTGATCAGATGAGATATCACAACTGATAAGACTCATGCAACTATAAACAGACGGGGCCAACGGAAAACGTTCAGCGAAACAATCATTGATTTCAATACTATGCAGGTGGATCAGGTGCAAATTTGTCTGAACAAATAATTTGACTTTTTGTCAAGATTCGGGGAAGAATAAACCCACCAAAAACTGGTGCATTATAATTATAATTATCTTTTTTCCGTAAAACTCAAAAATGTAGGAGTTGTTTTTATTTATTTACTGATCAAATATTTAACCCTCCAATCTTTTCTTTTCTGATATCTACCCTGGTCTGTTGTTTGTGTTTGTTGTTTTATGTCAAAGAAATGACAGTTGCATCTCTAACACAATCCAACACAAACAGCAGGTTACTGTTCATCATAGTTGTCTCAGCAATCACACTTTCTTCAAAATGGTACAAGAAAATCTATTTTATGAATTAAAAAGAATTATTTATTGGCGTTTCTTCAGCAAACCATACAGGGAGACTACCAAAATGCTAAATTATAAAATTGAATTAGGTCTGCAACTATTATTAAACATTACACAGCAATTTTAAGAACAGGCCCTTGAGCAAGATTTTAAAACTACATTACAGTACACTTCAGTTTTTTCTTTCAGTGTCAACCTTAATCAAAAGAGGATTTTCATACATTACTGTGTCTGCTAAGAACTAAATAACATTTTGGATCGTACAAGGCATTGTATTGGCCTTGTGTTGTATTGTGTGTCGCTGACAACTATTCTAATGTGTGCAATATCTCAGATAACAGTGCTCCTGCTGCTTCTCTGTAAAATGGGGTTAGAGATGAGCGTAGCACATTGACATTTTTGGATAAACGGGCAAAGAGTTCTTTCTAGAATTATTGTTATATAATCCCAAGAAAGTTTGTTGATAAGCAAGATGTAAACACACACACACACACACACACACACACACACCTCTAATTTCTGCAGAGACAAGCCGTTATACTCTTATTAACTGAGGGGGACTAATGAGAGCACATCAGAACATTATGTGTTGGAGCTGGTGATGAACTAATCTACTCATTAAATCAATTAAATCATTGTTTAATAAACAATTAAATACAATGTACAATATAATGATAAACAACATGTGCAGGATAAGTTTGCACATTTTCATGTCAATAGTTAGTCTTGTTGGCCACAATATACACTGAAAATGAGAAATTATTCCATTTCTCTGTAGAAAAATACAGGTCTGAGTGATTTTCCTCTCGTCAGTCAACATACCTGCTTGTTTGCTCCTCGGGTGGGGTCCCTGCTACCTCTGTACTGGGCTCTGAGGTTGTGCTGTCCACAGTCACACCAGCTGATCCTGGTGATCCTGCTGGTGATGTAGCAGCTGTGTGGGGAGAGAACAGTCGGACATCACGGACAACAATCACGGAATGTGTTGTTTTGAACCCTGTGCATGTGACTTTAAATCTTATTATATGCCACTCATTGCCTGCGTGTGTCAACCAAGTTTAGGTGTGTTTTGAGTTAATGAGAAACAGCAGATGGATATGTCACTCTCTTGCTTTCTGATGCCACAGTGCAGGCAGCTACTGCTACCTCGGTTCTCCAACCCCTTTTAGCAAATTCGAGCACCCCCCATACAGCCTATAGAGTTTTTGAGTGACCCCCCTGCTTATCTTTTCTACTTTTCGGACCCATATCCAGCCTCCCCCAGCTTTTTATTAGGTCACGTCTCTCCCATCTTCCTACCTTTCTCTCCCGGGGGGCTGGATCGCCCCCCGCCCTGTTGTCTCTGCAGGTGTTCCTTGTAGCAGACCGAGCACATGCCGTTGGTGCGGGGGTTACCATAGAAACCGCATCCCATAGTGCAAAGCATTGGCACCTGCGTCTGATTGGTCTCCTGAGCCATGCTCTGGCAGAGGGGGTAAGGGGGATGGGAGAGGATGTTCCTGAAAATGGGTTTGCAGAAGTTAGTGAAAATGATAAGCAGTCCCTGTCTGATCACACTTTAGTCATTGAGCTAAAAGAGCTTGGAGACTGGCATTGGAGCATGAGAGTGGAGTTGGAGCTAACATGTGGGGACTAGGGAGTAAGACCAACTCACTGTAAGTGACTGTTTCTGATTTTCTTACATCAACTCAATTTAAGCCCAACGCCACCAACTGAATAACAGAGTCCAGTTGTGCCACTAAAGCATAAACTGGACATTGTCACACTTAAATGAGAACATACAGTGTAACTAAAGTGTACAATTTAACGTAATCCACAAAAAAGTAAGTTTATCATTAAAGGCAAAATGGTACAAGACATAAATACAAGATAAAATGTGCCACTTGATAATACGATGCTTCCCTGCAGCATGGGGAAGAGGCATCAGTAGTTTTTTAAGTATTAGGCTGTCATTTTATTAGAAACAATATGTGAACAATTGAGTACAACACAGACAAAGAGGTTCAAGGTAAGACTGAGAAAAAACAAGTGACAATCTGGGGAAACATGAGCTAGCTCAGCTGCTGTCTTCCGCCGCACAGCAAGCTGTTATGTTCCAGGACAAAGTTAACAATAAAAACAACAAAGGCTATCGACGTGTCTTCACCAAACCATCAGGAAACTTACACCAAACCCGAATGGAGCGATGACTTGGCCCTCGCTAACAACACGTCGCTTACGATCTGAACAAGTTACAGCTGACCGTCCCTGAGTTCGTCCGCAGCGCAAAACAATCAGCGTCCTGTGTAGCTCAAAGCAAATACTGTAACATTAGCAAACAGCCCCGGCTGGACGGCTTTTTGTCTGTCTGACATTAAACTACAGACACAAAGAGAAGGACAAAACTTCACGAGTCGTCCTCCGTCACGCTGAAAAAAAGCAAGAGACAAAAAAGCAAAGCGTCCCTGACGACAAACTGTAAACAGATCCTGGGTTTTCAAGCGAATAAACGTTGGTGTTAGCATGCTAGCGTTAGCCGCACCGCTAGCCTCATCAGCCAGCCCGACAACACAGCGCCTCCGGACAGGGTCCTGGCTGGTTTCTGAAGCCGTCACCCGCAGCGGGGGTCTCTCACAGCGGCGTGGGACGGAGACAGTACCTGGGGGTCAAAGTACCGGCGGCTGTCGACGGGCCTGGACCTCAGGTTTGTACAAGTTGAGTCCCCAGCAGAGCGCGCGGCCTCCTACACAGCGCTAGCTCCCGACATTCGAAACAACGACCATGACGTCATCCCAGCATCGATTCAGACGGGCTATCTCTCACGCACACGCACGCGCGCACACACACATCACCACAACACCACCAAATATGTCCAAAATGTGTTTTCAGTTTATTGACATATCAGTTCATTGACAGTCCATCGGCTGCTTCAAGGTGCGTACACACACACACACACACAGTAAAATAAAAACTGCAGATCTAGAAACAAATGCACAGTAAATAACAAATGTTCCTTTTTCCAGTGAAACATTGAAGACTCTAAAGTGATCTTAGCTTTTTATGATTTTTATTGTTTCAAGGCACTAAGAATAATCCTTCAAAAAGCAATATGGTTACAGATTAAAACAGATACATATGTTCATCGTTTACAACATAAATAGTAAAGTAAATATATTTCAAGAGTAAAGCCATAACCTTACAAAAATAAAGCTATGTGTCATTTAGGAAGGGGAATCAGAAGATCAGCGTGTCGCTTTTGCTAAAATGATCATCTTGTATTTATACTTGTATAAATTTAAAAAATAGATTCTCCTTGCTGCTTTTTTGTTCATTTAATTTTTCCCAATTTTCGCAATATTATGTTTTTTTCTAATTAAATTATAACTTAATTCCCGTAGTATTACTTTTTTAAATCACTGAATTATGACTTTATTCTCATAATATCATCAATTAAAACATTATTCTTGTAATATTACAATTACACGTTATTCTTGAAATATCAAGAGCCCTAATACTCATTCATACTTTAAGGCCTCGGCGCTGTGCTTGTAGTTGGAATTTAATTCAACTAACATCTAAATCACAAACATAGTTTAAAATAAATGAATCATGATTACAATATTATACAAATTTAAGGCATCTTTTCGTTTCGTTTAAGCAAATATATGAAATGTATCTTTAAATGGTCCATCCACAGTAAACCTGTCACCACACTGATTATTAGATGAAGGAAAAAGACAACCAGGAAATCTAGTTGTTTGGGCCAGCAGGCTCCATCGCCACCTCTTCCTCAGCCTTTTCAGTGATCTGTGGGGCAAAGGGCCCCACCAGCCAGTTGAGTGGTGTGTTGTTTAGCAGATACTCCATGACGCCATCCAGAGACTGTTGAACCTGGGGACAAGTGCATACAAGTATAGCTCTCAACACAGTTTCAGTTTCTTAACCATACACATAATCAAAGCAAATCTTTGACCTACAAAACATTTTAAGCTTTATTGTGGGTGGTTAATATTGATGTTTTAGCTGAGCGCATTTACTAAATACAGCATGCTTGACTGTCCTAGTTTGATAAAAAACACATGCATGAGTAGATACCACTGAGACTGCATGCTAATGTAGTAAGTGCATGAGTTTCCAGTTTAATTTATGTTCAATTAGACTATTTATGTTTTTTAATCGTTTGTTAGTTAGCAGGATTAAAAATTTTCATGAAATTTAGTTCTAGATCTAGGATCTTACTTTCTTTACCATTTTGAGATGTTTGATTTCTCAGATAATGTATGGATCTTGATGAGAAAAGACATGTTTAGAGGACTGATCTATGAGTGTGTGCGATTTGGTTCAGATCTAAATAAAAATCTGGAGCTAGTGAATTTAAATGTGGTTTCATAAGGAGACTGTAGGGCCTAGGCAGAGGTATCCACTTTTCTGAGGGCTATTCTAGTTGTGTTAAGTAATAGTATTGAAACAAATAGTGTAAAATATGAAGCACTGAACTATTGTTGGCTGAGCTGATTCAGCAAAATAAAACACCACACTAAACACATTGTAGCAGAATCGGTACTTGGGTCAGGTGGTGACGGCTCCGCTCCAGAAGGACGGGTGTGAGAGTGCTGGCGCCCCCCAGGGAGGACTGCAGTTCTGCCGCTGATCGTCTTGCACTGGTCAACTGGTCCTGGACGGCACCTGGCAAACCCTGAGCACTTGAAACCACGCTGGAGCATGCTGATTGCAGCTGCTCACTTAGACCACGCACCATGGAGAGGGCCCGCCATTCCAGCTGCTGTGAACCGAAAATGACAAATAAATGAATTGTTAGATGATATCATACCATCTCCACATAATTCAGAAAAGGGATTACAACACAAAGTCAGCCTCTAAAATGCAAGTGTGTTTTATTGTTCATAAGATCTCTTGCTTTTGTCCATCTCAGAGAAATTAGATCACATTTCAGTTTTTTTCTTTTTTTATGTGATATACTAAGACACTAGAGTATGCAATGCTATGAAATGCACACATAATCTGATTAGACACCATCTCTACAATATCCAATTGCTTCAGCCCTGACCTCAGACTCATCTTTGGTCCCATCTGGCTCTGAATCGCTCTGTCCAGCTCCAGCGTGTTTCTCCTTCCACTCTGTCCAGCGCTGCAGCAGCTGCTCGGAGGCTCCTCCTATCTGGTTACTGGCTGTACCCAGGCTGGTCCGGGCACTCTCGAGCAGGTCCATAGTACTGGTCATCTGAACCATGGTAGCATAGGTGGCATCCCTGGCATGTCGCGCACGGACCAGGGACTGCTGCAGGGCTCGCTCCTGGACCTTGGCAGAAAGTTTTCCCAAGCGGACAAAGTAGCTGGGGCTGTCGGATGGGGTCGTCACCTCAAGGGTAGCAGGTTCAGCGACAGCAGCTGAGAGAGGAAATTGTTTATCTTATATTTTGATCTTTGACAATATTAAAACTGGTAACTGGTTTAAATTCAAATTGAATTAAATTCATATGATTTTGCGTCATTTAAATTAGTGAAACTACAAAATATGTTTTAAATCACATTACTGATGGTTCAGACTTAATTCTTTTAAAACAGGCCACGGATATACATCAATTACAATTTTTTATTTTAACATGATTTGAAATTTGTAGGTATGATTATCGCCAGTAGGGGGATGAGGGGGATCCATCCCCTTTAAACCAAACATCTGTTCGAGGCGGGTTATTGACATTGACTGGGTTCAAGCAGATCTGCTCAGGACAGACAAGAAGACAGAATACAGAGTAACAGTGTCTCCCTGTGCCTCTTTTAAAAGCTACTTTGGTGGGCCTTAGCCACAATAACCACTGAACAGATACATAATCTCCCATTATGGGTCATTTTGCTGCTGCTGCTGATTAAAGTTGCAGACGAATCCTTTTCATATCCATAGCCAGAGAACAGGATGGCCTCTTGCTATATTAGTATGGCAGGTTGTCACGATAACATGACATCACAGTAGCAGGTGTCAAAACTGTGAGTGTTGGAAACTGTGGGTAATTCATGGGCCAAGTTAACAGAAGGGAAGTTGACTGGGAGTGCCCTGCCTCCCTCTCTATGAATAGCATGAACCACTGATGCAGACACTTCGGTAGTATTGAACACTTTATCATGACCACTCCCATCTTACCATATCACACTGTCTTGCCTTTATAGTGATAATAAAGTGGATAGCATCATTAAATTTGCTGTTTGAGCTATAGATCAATGAACCAAAGACACAGTGCCAGCTACAGACTCTCAAAGTAAATGGAAAATAGTGTTAATGCCATCATTCTCATACATTACCATTAGAATAAATCAAGTTTAAGTAAGTTGCAGTGATGCCAGTTGCTAATTGGATGCTTACCCTGTAATGTAGGAAATCAATGTTGGAGTAATATAAGTGATATAGAGATAATAACTACAATTTCTAAATGCTTTTCCTAAACTGAAACATTATTAAGGTCTCACTGAAAGTTAATGAGATACCAAGTCTGCCATGTACTTTGTGTTTGGCAGTGTGGGAAAAAATCACATTTTTGTGAAAATGGGGCCAGAAATCAGATTAAGGTGGTGTAGCAGCTCCTAAATTATAATTTTAGGAACAAGGAAAAAGTGACACTTTGTTTGTAATAGGTTAAAATTACAATGCATTTCAAAACATAGGGCTGGAAAACGTTGATTGATGGATCTTAAAATAGAGGTATGACATCATAAAATAATATTTAACTTGTTACTGGTTTAATAAAAGCACTTCAGTGAAACAGTCATTTGTTTTGAAATTATGATCGATGGAGCAAAAGATAGAATGAAATTTGGAATAAAACGTGATAATATTTCATTTTTATATGGTGGAAAAAATTCATAAATGACCCATTAATCCTTCATTTTCTTAGCTACATTATCGGATTATGATTGTCTGTTAGTTTGCGATCATCTGCAACAACAACATGAAAAACTGACCACTCATCGTCCATAATTAATTCCAATTTCTATCCTTGTTTCAGCTTCATTTGATCTGACTGTCAAAACACACCTGTCTCCACCTCAGCAGGAAACATATGGGTTTAACACCTCCCCTGGTTTTCATGGACTGATTATTTTTTCGAAATTTAGGGCAGGTACTGACCCAGCTCCTTCTCGGTGAGTGGCAGGTTGTGGTCAACCCAGTCCTCGGATCGGCTGAGTGCCAGGCCCATCCCACTGCTAACCATCTGGCCCATCCTGGTGCCCATGACGGTGCTGATACCTCCGCTGACTGCCGCCCAGGTCAGTCCGACACCACCCATCACAGCCCCCACCACAGTGTCTTTGGCACCTGCCACCGACTGGTACACCATCCCTACTGTGTCCGACACCACCTGGGAAAAAAAACAGATTATCAGATATGCTTGGAGTTATGTTGGTGCGACATAAATGTTCTATATAGATTGTATCCTATCAACAGACATTTGGGACAAGGAGTAACTCACAGAGAGATAAAGTAGGGTGCAGCAGTAAGAGAAGTGGAGGCTTGTTTGAGCTGCTGTGCTTACTACAGCTCAGCAACTGGCATATCTAGCTTTTTAGCTTTGTCACCGGCGTGGAATGAATCATGGGATATGTTGGCACAACAAGGATCCAACCATTGGATCCATCATTGCTCAGGAATAGAAGGATGCATTTGTTGATCACATCTGAAGGAGCCTTCAAATGCCCACTATACGTGAGTCGTCATGTGTCATGCGTTTTCAGGCGTGTTAGTATTGAAAGGGATTAAAACTGATACAGAGCCAAAATGCTTGGGGAGACAGATCGTTTTAGTTTGACAATGCTGGTTCCAAACTAAAGTAGTATGGATCTAGTCTGAAAGGGAAAAGCCCTAGTGTGATAACGGTAAACAAAACAAATCAATCCACATTCACAGTAAAAAGGAGAAGAACAATAGCAGCAAGAAAAGA